TTCTTTTTTCATTATAGGAAATTATAACTCTCCTTTGCCAGTTTTGTTTTCTGGTAGTTTCTTTGACGTGACAAAGGGATGATTTTATTCTTTGGAAAGTCTAAGCCAACCAAATGCATAGTGACATTGAGGTCCAAGGCCAAAAAAATCAGTTTCTTCCTAGCACCGATTATGCTGTGGAGATGAAAAGCATAAAAGTAGCAAAGAGAGGCACCCTTCATTACAGATCTTTAGGGTGCTTACTGGCTCGTTTGGCTAGCATTGGAGTTATAGAGAAATAGGAAAGACATTGCCTAATGTGTTCTGCAAGGTGGCTTTTTGAAGAACTGTATACACTGCCCTTTAGTTTCTTTCAGATTGCTTTTATAGAATATAAAATTGAGTGTATTAATATATATTTATGTATAATATATATTTTTTTGCATATAAATATGTATATGTTGAATGGAACATGTCTATATTCCATTCAATATATCATCATAATAAATGACCAGGTGAGAAATAGGTTTCTCAAATAAAGATAGCTTATGAGTAGCTTTCTTTCTGGAATAAATGAAATAAGCTTTTCATCCTCAGTATCTTTCCTTTGAAAATGGGTGTGACTTCCGCTCGTTCCCAATTCTGGTGTTCCTTCGCCCCCTCTCTGTCTCTCAGCGCCTGTCTTGTCTCTCTCTCTCTCTGTTTCTCTCTCCCTCTGCCTCTGTGTGTTTCAGTTTCTCTGTCTCTTTTCCTGGATGCATGTGCGTGTACATTTACGTGCGTATCTGTGTATTTAAGTGTTTGTATTGTTAGGGCCCAGGGCAGGCCACTTCTGAAAATGCCTTGATGACATACTGATTCTTTTCATGTTGCTTAAGTAAAAAGTTCTTTGCAAGTTGTGCTAGCACTTTGGTGGGGTCAGCTGTAAGGATCGGCACTGCCGGGGAAGGGCTGCTGCGCCTGTGGCCCTTTGATGCGTCCTGCACACTGTTTCCCTGGAGAGGAATGTCTGTTCTCTCTTCCCTCCGGGGGA